AAAAAAAAAAAAATCATGCAAACAGAAACAGATTTACTGAAAGAAACACTTGTGCATCAGCAATACAATCACAACAAGATGCAGATTTTGATAATGGCTGACAGAGGAACATAATAACATTCACCTGCTGAAGTTTCTTTTCCATTTCATTGAAGAGGGAGATGTTTCCTACAAATGAGTTTCTAAAATGTGAAGTAGGTTACGATTAGGTGGCAGTTCAACACTGTTCAAAATCCAAATGAAGAATTCTAATATCCATACAAGCTACCTATAAAAAAGACGGAACAACATTTAATATACAGAAAAAACAAATTCAAGACAGTTGGACAGAAACTGAATGGAACATATTTAGCACTTTCCTCTCAAAATTTTCTAATAGTGACTATAAAGATGCACCAATTTGACAATCTATGCCCACCGCCGCGGACTTGTTGGTCTATTCTATCAAGATTCCTCATCAAATAAGAGTTAAGGAAAGAAAAAAGGGAATGATAGACACTCAAAATAATACAAAATTATTACTTTTATGAAGCTTCCAACATAAATTCCCTCTGCAGCCACATTGCCAACAGTTGTTTCATATGAAAGGTGATGCACAGTGCAGTAAATTATTTGTACAACAAAACTATACTTTTCGAATATGTGCTGGCCTGCTCTTTTCAATGATTTTATGCAGTTAACAGACAATGAACAAGCAGAAAAACACGTTACACAATGATAAGAATATATCATTAAGAATGATATGAGCTCACAAGTTAGTAAAGCAGTAAAGAGTATATAAATGTTCAAAAGAAGAATCACAAGCTAGTAAAGCAGTAAATATAACAAGGAAATTGACTCTGACTGAACAATATCTACTTTAACACACTCTGGTCTAATAACTAAGATCAACACACTTAGTCATTTCAAGCATGCTTCTGCAACTAGAAGCAAATTAAATAGGAACAACTGTGCAGCGCTCCGCATCTCCGATCACACTCATCTTTAGCACTGTCAACCAGAACTGACATGTACGCTATATAAAAGTTTTGCCTTATTGCTATGGCCCAGACAAGGAAATGGTAGAACTGGCCAATTAAAGGCAACAAGTGTTTGGACCCCATCTTTCTCTTTCACCCACCAGCTGGGCCCCAAAAATTACTTAAAGTTTATGGTAAAGTAATTTAAGCTTACTTTTCCAAAACCACTTAATTTTAGATGAACATTAAAAAGGACCCATCAGTATTAGCCAAGATGTCGGCACAATAAGACCCAGTCCATATTAATTGTCATTGAGTCCAACAGTATCTTAGATCAAATACTAGGAAGATAATGAAAGGTATAGTAGTCCACGAACCTGATATCAACCAGTGGACTAATATATTTTTGACCAAACATGTAATAGTCGAACGGTTGTCGAATCGCTTTGTGGTATGGTGAGAATTGGAAAGGATCCTGAAATTTTGATTGTACAAAGTGAATAATTTTCTAAAGAAACCAGCCGGATACATGGCAACCAACAGTTGCGAATTGAGATAACAGTACAGCGACTACCAGCACATCCATGAATATGCGATCTAATGCAGCAGCCATATTAGCAAAGAAAATCTCGTGAGCCTGCGGGTGACCACTGTGGCAAACCTGGATGTCCAGACATAAGCAATAAATTACATTCCAATTAGAGGACTGACAAAAGAATGGGAAAAGATATAATGATTTTCATTATCATGAAGTAAATCTTTTGTGCAACTAAATTTGTAACAGTTGAAAATGAAAATTTATTGAGCAAGAGCTCAACCAACTAGGAAAATGAAAATCAACTAGGACACAGCTTGAATCTTGGATAAGCAAAGAGTCAAAAGTGGTTTCTGTCAATACATTTCTAATCATATGTTTGTATATGACTTCCCACTCCCCCAACAGCATAAATACCAAAAAGCCCATATTTATACATGACATAGAACAGCTGAATGTGGAAATGAAACTGGACTTGTCTTGTCAACCTATATTCATTTTCCAGAAATGAAAAATATGAAAGATGCACATTATGCATGTTTATCATGCCAATTTTAACTTTGCAATAAAACGAAAATAAGAAGTCAGTAGTTGCTGGAATTAAATTTGCATAAAATAAGGATGTAGATAATATGGCTTAAAGTTTCTCTTTATTTCCCCTTTTCCTGTTAGACTTAGTCATAGAAGAGTTTATAAATCTCAGCTGTCAGCACTTATGACAAATTTGTGGAGGATTCTAAGGCCATAAGGATGCGCGCTGAATTTGTGACTAACAGATTAAGCAAAAATGGCTCAGTGCATTTGATATTCTACACCTAATAGCAACATTGCAGCATAACATAATTAGATTAAATTACTGCATTTCGGTAATTGTGATACAACTCTTCCATCCCCTGAGCAACATTTATTGGTAACCGTCCAGCTTCTGCTTCTCTTTGGATCCCCAAAAGCAGATCTGCAATCATAAATTTCATGAAGACAGCAATAAAAGGTAAATCATCCGGATTAAACACCTAAAATTGTATGGTTCCATCCCAAAAGAAATTTACCCACTTTTTACTGTTTTGAAATGTAAATATGTTCGTTTTGCTCAACTATCATTCCATCTTCAACTTCTCCTTTTTGAAATTAATTCTCACCCCTATAAATTCCATTTCAACTATATAATGAGAACCAGTACAAAAATCACAAACTCAACTTGAAGTTTTAACATTTATTACATAAGTGGGTCACATTCACAATACTACCATCTAATTTCCCCGAAATCCCGCCCAACAAAATCATTAAGTACAAATTAGTAAACAAAATATTATTTTTCCCCAAGGAAAATGATAAGTTTGTACTCATCACAGGTAGGTCGCATTGAAACTTCATATGGTTCCATAATGCCAAGTTTAAAACACATATACCACTTCAAGGAAAGTTGGTTAAAGAGATAAAGTGGTGACAAATAAACAGTATCCTATACCAAAGTCACTTATCGGTATAACACTACTAAAACAGTTCGATCTGAACACAAATTTCTCTCATGACACTGGAAAGCTTGCATCCTCATAAGAAACTCAATTATACTCAACAAAGTTAGGATTTGAATCAATTTAAAGAAGGTAGTCAAAATTCTAATATATGACAGATGAAATTGCAATACTGAACTTCAAAACGCAGTTCCTTTTTTTTCTTTAGTACAACAGACAGTTGCACTCACTTAAGTGTGTATATTTAACAGGAAGAAAGAAGGAAAGCCATTGCCAATAGAAACGAAATGAACATTAACAAAAGCCAAGAAGATAAAATTATATTATATTTGTTCAATATTCTCAAACACTAATTGAGACTTTCCGCATGTCTGGACATCTTACGACTAATAACAGGAGATATTATTGCTCCACCATTCTACAAAAATCCTAGTCATAACAACTTTGGTAAAACTATGTGATATTATGCTCTTTTTATCCATAATTAATGTCACAGCATATATTGGGTGCACTAAGGGTAATTACAGCAGACACCACCATCTAGAAGAAAAGAAAAGCAACTCATCATTGAAAAAAAAAAAAAAGAAAAAAGAAAACAATTGATCATACCAAATTCACCACCCAAATAAGAGTCAAAACTGAATAGAATCTATTAATGGCATGGACAAGAATGAAAATGCATTTCCTCTCATTTATAGCATGTTGTTGTATAAAATACATGAGTGTACTAACTCCATAGAACTATCTGAATGAAAAATCTTTGATATTGTAATCCAGTAATCCAAGGGACGCATAGCACATCATGCAGGAGTGGGCCCTTGGGGATCTCTCGAAAGCCCCTTTTATGAAATTTCGGAGCGGTCGGCGGGGTTACGCCCGTTTATATAACAGATTATATGGTAGGTCACAAATTAGGAGAATTCGTACCTACTTTCAATTTACGAGGACATGAAAAAAAAAACACAAACTTCAAACAAAAATACAAGCTAAGTTATTAATTTAGGCTTAAAATACATGGATTAGCACAAAGATGCGCACAAAAGTATACGCGCGTGTTTCACATTCTCAGGCCTCGAGTCAGTAGTTACACAGAAGACAGTGGTACGGAGGCTCGGATAAAAAAGTGGAGCCATACAATTACCCGAAACTTATTTAACAGCATAAATTCAGAATCGCATGATCATAGCAAGTTCATTCAATACGTCGTCAGAAATGAGAAATTAACCTTGTTCCGTACGCGCATCAAGAAAAGTCCGAGGCGCCGAAATCTCGTCCCTGCCATGGGAGGCGGATGTGGTCGCCTCCATGGCTGCCACGGCGTCAACGGTACTTCCGGATGATCTATTCCTCTCATCAATCGCCTCCGTCAGTCCCTGCAGCTTCGAGGAGCAGAAAGCGAGACACGAACACCAACTGCGCCTCCGAGCGGCGAGGAATTTCAAGGAGCAAGCGATTCTGGAAGTCGAAGGCGAGGCGGAAACCCTAGTAATGGCGGTGGAGTACGTTGAGAAGGTAGTGGTGGAGGAAGATGAAGTAGAGAGAACCATTTTGGACGGTTTGCGCTTGTGTGGGAGTGTGCCAGTGTGGGCGCTTTTGTGGTGTGCGTGAAGAGAAGAGATGAGGCGGAGATTTACTTATAATATACTGTAGTAAGCTTTTAGAGAAATGGATAAATAAATGTGTTTGCCAGGATCTAATTTAGTAACTCGATGTACATTGGCTATTGAATTAGTATAGCGTTTTTTTTTTCTTTTTTCCCCGGCCCGCCGGCCCAGCACAGCCCGGCGATCAAATCCGCCGTTGACCACGGGTTCAGGCGCGGCTCAGATTTCAATCGGACCGATCTAGGACCTTGTTTATATCGACCGTAGCCCGGCGGGCATGGCCGGATCCGGTTCGACACAGGAAAAACAGATTGTTTTTAATTTTATTTCTTTTTTTATTTGGGCGGGCCCAGACTCGGGCCGAGCTACAAAATCAACATGACCTAGGTCCATGTCGGTTCAGGGTCCATGAAATCGAACTCGTCGGCCCGTGTTTTGGCCATGTCTACTCTTTTCAGCACATGTACAAATGTATTATACCTAAGAGATTTATATTTAAAATTAAAAACAAAATTGTTTCAATTTTCAAATATTTTTTAATAACTATTTTCTATTTATAAAATAACACATATCACTTATATGGCTTATTATATTTTATTGTAACTAGTATTCGACCATGTGCATTTGCACAGATGTAAATAAAGTATTGTGAGTTATTTGTATGCATATAATGATTAATTATTTTTCTTTGACCTTTTTTCTGGCAAAATTTACAATTAAAAGAGTTGGAATATTTATTTTTTTTTTAAATTGCGTTTATCTGATTGGATGTAATGTATATTTTGGTACGTCTTTTTTTGTGAATAATTTATTATTTAGGAATTTCAAATACGTCTTTTATTTTTTTAAAAAAATAATAATTTAAATGTAACCACAATAATAACATCTAATCACATTATACGGTCAACACATTATATGGTCAACTGTCAGTAATCAAAAGTTCAAAATGATTTTTGTAACTTTGAAGTGATTAGTATTGATTATTTAATAATTAATGAAGATTAAATACATCAAAAATAACGGTTTTTGGAGGGAAAAATGTTAAATTGCCACATAGGTAAAATTAAATAGGTTTTATTAAATGCTATTAGCTAGTAATTATATATATATAGATATTTTTTAAATTATATCATTTAATAACTGTGTAGTTAAATTAATTTAATTACTTTTATTTTTAAATTAATATTAATAGGTAATTTAATTTTTTATTATAAAAATAAATATAATTATTTAGTTATTTTGTATATACAAACCATGTGTTAAATCGAAACTCAGTGATCAATTCGATATATTATGTATAAAAATTGCTAAGAAATAAAAGATTATTAACTTAATTTAATTTAGTAATTTTTGCATAATTTCAAAAGAAAGATGAGAAAAAAAAATTATTGTCCAGTATAGAAAATATAATACAAATGCTCTTAAAAAGACCATAAATATATTGTATATGTATGGTTATTCCAAACCTAATTATTTTTTTTATTGACGTAAATTAAAATACATCCAAGCCAAATGACAAAGCCTGAAAATTAGTCACATAGGATTCTGAAACATGCTAGCCTCCCACTTAGGCTCATCACATTCGAAAATTATATATAGGGGGAGTGTCAGACTAATTTTAATTGCTATTCCAAACTCTTTTGTTATCTTTTAATTTTAATCTTATATAAAATCCATCCATATATATACATGCAATGCTTTTCGAGCATATATATTAATTGTTGGTGCTTTGCAATTTCATGTGTTTATTTCTACTAATTTCCAATCAAAGCGTCGAGTACTTTGAAGCAATTTGTTTAGATCTAGACCTCTATACATGTCCTATCAAGGTGCAGGAAAATGTAATCCAAGTGATAACAATGCAGATAACCATACAAAATCAACATTTGTAGTCTGGATAACAAAGTTTTTAGGTGCATGAAAATGTAATCCAAGTGATACATATCAAAGTTCGACAAATCATCAGACAACTAAAATCTTGTGTAGTACCTTAGTGACAGTCAGTCAGTCTCGCACTCTCTTTTGATCTGGTTACTATCAAAATCTAACAAATATTGTTTCGTTTTCGAGTACCAACTTATCCTAGGAAGTTCATAATAACCAAGTGAAGAACCAAATTGCAGAGGACAAAATCCGCAAAGGCACGTTCTGGAGGTAAGTCCTGCAAATCGAGAGAACGCAGCATGAAACGATCAGAATAAGGAACATTGGTGAAAGGAACAGGTACGGAGAAGACTCAATGACTTGGTATTTTCATTACCCACGCTTTTCTATTTTTTTTTTTTT